GACTGAGCCGTGTAGGTGCCCTGGGACAAAAGAGACTTTAAAACAAAGACTGTAATAAGAGACAAAGAAGGACACTATAGAATAATAAAAGGGACAATCCAACAAGACAATTAAAAAGTTTAAATATTTACATACCCAACATGAGATCACCCAATACAGAAAGCAATTAATAACAAACATAAAGGAACTAATCAATAGTAATACAATAATAGTAGGGAATTTTAACATCCCTTACATCAGTGGACAGATCATCTATGCAGAAAATCAACAAGGAAACAGTGGCTTTGAATGACACACTGGTACAGATGGATTTAACAGATATATTCAGAACATTCCATCCTAAAACAGCAGAATATATATGCTTTGCAAATGCACATGGAATAGTCTCCAGAATGGACCACATATTAGGCCATGAAACAAATCTCAACAAATTCAAAAAGATCAAAGTCATACTATGCATCTTTTCTGACCACAATGCAATGAAACTAGAAGTGAATCACAAGAAAAAATCTGGAAAGACCACAAATACGTGGAGGTTAAGTAACCATTCTACTAATCAATGAGTGGGTCAACCAAGAAATCAAAAGAGAAACTAAAAATTACATGAAAATGAAAACACAACAATCCAAAATCTTTGGGATGCAGCAAAAATGATTCTAAGAAGTAAGTTTATGATAGTACAGGCCTACCTCAAGAAGCAAATAAATCTCATGTAAAAACCTAACCTTACACCTATAGAAGCTATAGAAAAAAAACAAGAAACAAAACCTAAACCCAGCAAAAGGAAGGAAATAATAAAGATTAGAGTAAAAATAAATGATATGGAAACCAAACAGCAATAGAACAGATCAATGAAACCAGGAACTGGTTCTTTGAAAAGATTAACAAAATTGATAAACCTCTAGCCAGACTCAGGAAAAAGAGAGAGAGAGAGAGAGAGAGAGAGAGAGAACTCAAATAAAAAAAAATCAAAATGAGACTCAAATAAACAAAATCAAACAAAAATGAGAGAGTAGGAATAGCAACCAATATCACAAAAATACAAAAAGTTGGAAGAAAATATTATGAAAAACTATATGCCAACAAATAGACAACCTAGAAAAAAATGGGTAAATTTCTAGAAACATATAATCTACAAAAACTGAAATAGGAAGACATAGGAAATGTGAACAGACCAATAACCACCCAAGAAATTGAACCAGTAATCAAAAAGCTCCCAGCAAACAAAAGTCCAGGACCAGATGGCTTCACAGGCAAATTCCACCAAACGTTTAAAGAATTAATATCTATTCTTCTCAAACTACTCCAAAAACAGAAGAGGAAGGAAAACTTTCAAATTCATTCTATGAGGCCAGTATCATCCTGATACCAAAGCAAGATAAAGATGCCACAAAAGAAAGAGAAACTCTAGGCCAATATCTCTGATGAACATGGATGCAAAAATCTTCAACAAAATACTGCAAACTGAATCCAACAATACATAATAAAAAGATTCACTACAATTAACTGGGATTTATTCCCAGGATGCAAGCATGGTTCAATATTCACAAATCAATCAATGTGATACATCACATCAATAAGAGAAAGGATAAGAACCATATGATCATTTCAATCAATATAGAAAAAGCATATGACAAATACAACATCCATTCATGACAAAAATTAGGATACTGGAAGTCCTGGCCACAGCAATCAGACAACAAAAAGAAACAAAAGGCATCCAAATTGGTAAAGAAGATATGCAGATTTTACTATTTGCAGATGACATGACACTATATATAGAAAATCCTAAAGACTCAACCAAACCACTACTAAAACTGATAAATGAATTCAGTAAGGCCACAGGATACAAAATCAACATACAAAAATCTATTGCATTTCTATATGCTAATAATGAAGCAGCAGAAAAAGAAATTAAAACTATCCCATTTATAATTGTATCAAAACCAATAAAATACCTAGGAATATATTTAACCAAAGAGGTGAAAGACTTGTACCCTGAAAACTATAAAACACTCATGTAAGAAAATGAAGACAACACAAAGAAATGGAAAGACATTCCATGCTCATGGATTGGAAGAATATTGTTAAAAGTCCATACCACCCAAAGCGATGTACAGATTTAGTGTAACCCCTATCAAAATGCCAACATCATTTCTCAGAGAATTACAGCAAACGATCCTAAAATTTGTATGGCACCACAAAAGACCTCAAATAGCCAAAGCAATCTTGAAAAGTAAAACAAAACTGGAGGCATCATGATTCCAGACTTCAAGTTTTATTACAAAGCTGTAACAATCAAAATAGTATGGCACTAGTGCAAAAATAGACACAAAGATCAATGGAACAGAAGAGAAAACCCAGAAATAAACCCACAATTGTGTGGTCAATTAATCTTCAACAAAGCAGGAAACAATATGCTATGAGGAAAAGAGAGTCTATGCAACAAATAGTGTTGGGAAAACTGGACAGCAACATGCAAAAGAATGAAACTAGACCACTCTCTCTCATCAAACACAAAAATAAACTCAAAATGGGTTAAAGACCTGAATGTGAGGCCTGAAACCATAAAAATCCTAGAAGAGAGCAAAGATAGTAATTTCTCTGACATTGGATAGAAACATTTTTCTAGGTATGCAAGGGAAACAAAAGCAAAAAATATGCTGTTGGGACTACATCAAAATGAAAAGCTTTTGCAGAGTGAAGGAAACCATCAACAAAACTAAAAGGTAACCTACAGGAGAAGATACTTGCAAATAATATATCTAATAAAGCATTAGTATCCAAAATATATAAAGAACTCAACACTCAAAAGACAAATAACTCGATTTTAAAATGAGCAAAAGAGGGCAGCCAGGGTGGCTCAGCGGTTTAGCGCTGCCTTCAGCCCAGGGCGTGATCCTGGAGTCTCAGGATCCAGTCCCGCAGCGGGCTCCCTGCAGGGAGCCTGCTTCTCCCTCTGCCTGTGTCTCTGCCTCTCTCTGTGTGTCTCTCATGAATAAATAAATAAAATATTTTTTAAAAAAAGAGCAAAAGACATGAACAGGTATTGCTCCAGAGAAGACATCCAGATGGACAAAAAACACACTGAAAGATGTTCAACATCACTCATCATCAGGAAATGCAAATGAAAACCACAATGACATATCACCTCACACCTGTCAGAACACTAAAATGAACAACACAAAAACAACAAGTGTTACTGAGGATGTGGAGTAAAAGGGACTCTCATGCACTGTTGTTGGGAATACACACTAGTACAACCACTGTGGCAAACAGTATGGAGGTTCCTCAAAAAATCAAAAATGGAACTCCCCTATGATTTAGTAATCACACTACTAAGTTCTTACCCAAAGAATACAAGAACACTAATTCAAAGAGATACATGCATCCCTATGTTTATTGCAGCTATTATTTACAATAGCTGAACTATGGAAGCAGTCTAAGTGTCCATCAATTGATGAATGGATAAAGAAGATGTGCTGTGCATGTGCACATGCACACGTGCACGCGCGCGCGCGCACACACACACACACACACACACACACTGGAATATTAGCCATAAAAAAGAATGAAATCTTGCCCTTTGCCATGACATGGATGGAGCTAGAGAGTATAATGCTAAGTGAAATAAGTCAGTCAGAGAAAGAGAAATACCATATGATTTCACTTATATGTGAAATTTAAGAAACAAAACATGGGCAAAGGGGAAAAAAAGGAGAGAAACGGATACAAGCCAAGAAACAGTCTCTAAATTATAGAGAAATAACTGATGGTTATCAGAGGGGAGGTGCTGGGGTGGGGGGGCGGCTGAAATAGCTGATGGGGATTGACGAGTACACTATGACAAGCACTGAGTAATGTAGAGAATGGTTGATCACTCTATTGTACACCTGAAACTCATATAACACTGTATGTTAACTGTGCTGGAATTAAAATAAAAAAACTTGTAAGAAAAAAAGGAAGAAGATGACATATTCCTGACAAATCCATAGCAGTTTATCATTAATTCTGAACAAGACCCTCTAGTTATATTAATTCTACAATATCTTTCCCTACATATTATTTACTTAGAAATGTTTTATTTATATACAAGTACCCTGGGGACCTAATTTGTATAATTTTGTGGTTGGCTTTCCATTGTGAAGATTGGCAGACTATTTAATTATTTCTGACAAATCCATGTCACTTCCCAGCTCCTGGTGTCGGCAGTACCTGGAGGCTGGGACACATCTTAAGTGGGACATCAAGCAGCTAGGTGAGAACTACCTCAACTCATCCAAAATAATAAATGACACAAATGGCTTCTCAAAATTTGTTTATAAGGTATTTAATTAGTCCTGACACCCCATAACCAGAATCATGAAAAAAATATTAGAATTTTTACAATATTATAAAAATCTATGAGATACATATGTGTAATGAGGTTTATTACTACTTGTTGAAACTCCTTCCTATACACTTCTCTTTTCACCCAACATCTCCCTTTCTGCATCCAGGGCTGCCTCTCCCCATCTGCTCGCTCACTGTCAACTTGATTCAAACCCCCAATGAGTCCCGAGGTCAGTTTCCAACCCAGATGTAAAGCCACTGGGTCACCTCCCTGGCTTCTCCTCTCTCAAAGCCAAGAGTAAAGAGGGACTGTTGTGTTTCCTACCAGTAATAAGTTGCATGGCTACCCTCTAGTGCCTTGGATAATTGAGAACTGACTGCCTCATCACCTAATGTTCTCTTTTAAATGCCTTATTACCTCTCATTTCAACCAAGGACCCAGCTGAGAAATAATACATCAGGTACTGAATGTTGCCTGGCATCAACAGGACAGGAATCTCTCCTACTACACCTACTCTGGCTCTGACCTCTGGAGCAACTGCATCCTCCTGGCTACAGAACTCAGAAAGCAACTATGAACTCTCATGCCCAGCTGATTCTGAAGTACATTTCCCCACATCCTGTGCTTTGCATTTTCTAGGAGGCAATGAGACTTCACCTCCACCTACCAGCTGTCTGGAACCCAATGATGGCTGGCACAGAGCGTGTGGGAGGGGCGGTGGAAATGCTCACGGTGTAGTTGGTGCCTTGGTACAGATCGAGGCACACTTCTGGGGTCCTGCTGTCTGCGGTCACATTGACTGTCTCCTCATGAACTGATTCCACGGGGTGCAACCGTTGTCCTTTTATGTAGATCTTCGGGAGGGGAAAAGAAAAAAGAACTCACCATGACTCTGGTTAAAGCAGCTGAGAGAGACTTTGTGATGCTGAATCTCATTTTCCTACTATTCCCTCTTCTACCACACTGTGCACCCAGGAGAGATGAATAAGGTAAGTCTCCACAATCAGGTATCTAATGATGAAGGCCTATCAGCCCAGTAAACAATAAACCCTAGGAAGTGACATAAAATGAGGAGTCCCTCTAGGGAGGGCTAGCCTGCACACAAATGACAGCTAACAATGGAGGCAGTCACAACCTGAGGACCACTCGCTGCATCCCGTCACCAAGTCAGCAGATGCTTCCAGGCCTCCTCTGGGCAAGTGAAATACAAGTGCTGGGAAACAAGCGATCACGGTGATGCCAAATAGAAGCATATCCCCCACACTTACAACCCTGCTGAATGACACACATATTAAAACATAGAATGTAAAATAAAATAAACTAGGTATATCTTTGAAAATCTGATCACTTTCTAAAAGAACAATCAGACAATTAGATGGAGAAGCCCTTATGAAAGGAAGTGTCTCCAAGTCTTGTTCCTGTAGGATACCACTTCTGCTCTAGCAGGATAGAGTGGATCACATTACTTACCACGTAGACAATCTTGAAGATGATGCTTCCTGGGTTTATTTGCCACTTCACACAGGTGTTATTAAACACCGATACATCACTAATTTCTGGAATTATTTCTAAAACAGAAAAGGAGAATCCACTCACAAAATGCATCAATAGCCTTTAGAAAATAAGATTTTTCCAAAATGGAACTGGAGTAGAGGGCATGACTTAGTTTATCTGTGTGGCTGATATCTCTGCTAATCACTGCATGCTCTGATTCAGAAATCGGGCAATTCAAGCTGCCCCAGGCCAAACACCCAATTTAGCTTCATCAAAAATGAGCCCGGCCCATGACCTGACTAGGAGGGAAAAGACACATACCCACTTGAGAATGGCTAAGAACTCCAACCTGTGATTGGCCCGGCAGGCCACTGGATGCCACTGGCGTTCCACTCATGTGGGATGGAACAAAGTCCGGAGCTGAGCCCTGAATTTTCCCTGCAGCTGCCCAGGTAAGATCTGTTTCTGGCTTCATCCCACCTGGCTGACAAAACATTCTTATTTCCAGGTCACCGCTATTCCCAAGAGGGAAATGACATGCATCACCACACAGGACCATTCTTCAGAAGCAGCTTGAAGTCAACAAAATAAATTCTCCACAAGGTCCCTGGATATTCTGGGGCTCCTCTACCTGAAGCTATTAGTTCTGATTTATCAGAAAGCCATAATTTCTTCAAGTTGTCCTGCTTCTTTCAAATATTCTGTGTGTATTCTGTGTAAAAAAAAATGGCAATATGGGAAACTGTCTTAGGGCCTTGGTTCTGAGGTCACAGATTCCAATGAGTTGTGTTGGCTCTCTCTCCTCCCCTGCTTTAGTCACCGTACCCCTCACTCCTGCTTCCTGGGGTGTCATTCCCCGTTGTGTAATAGAGATAAGCTTTGTGCCTCAGGCTCTGCTTTCCAGGAAACCCAAGGTAAGACTCCCATTAAGAAGGATGGGAAAGATAATTCTCCATCTCAGAAGATGCCTCCTTTCAACTCAGCCCCCTCTCTCCCTTCTCAGCCTCCAACATGGGAAAGAGAGCTTGTACCTCAGCCACCAGTGGTATTGACTCACCTCCCCTGTACCCAGAACCAACGCTACCCTTAGACCCTGGTCTACTGATGATCTCTTTACCAAGATTTTACACCTTTACTAAATCATCCATCAGCAGCATTACTGGGTCTTGGGTAAGCCCAGGTCAGGTTGTCAGTAAGTAAAAATAAATAAATACAGACAGACTGGAAAACAGGGAAATTCTTGGACAGACATCAGAGGATCCCCTGTGGCTGTCTAAAGCATTCCCGGGTCTCTACACTAATACTTCTCCCAGAGCACAGATAAAATGAAATCAAAGAAATCCTCGAGTTGTGGACATAAGTACCCTAATAGATGCAAAGATCCTATCTGTTCACCCCCCTGGGGAGCATGAAGATGACATTGGTGCCAGTATTTCAACAGCTTGTATGAGCCCCAGATACTCTGGCCCCTTCCCTCCCTATCACCCTTCAAAGGCCCTAAAGCTTTGGACTCCTCTGCTCACTCGCACATCCCTTTGATATTAACTTACCCCATGGTCTAGAAGGAAAAGGAAACAGCCCATTCCTCATTTTGTCTCTGACTGTCAGTAAAGCAAATTTCCTTCTCACTGGGGACCCTTTTGCCACCCAGGCAGAGATTAGAAAGGAGACATGAAAGATTCCCTTCTTGTCCTTCCTTTGTGCTCATTCACTATGACAACAGCAAATGACATCTCAAAATTGCCATCTGCCTCCTGCCTGTGCCATGCTCTCTTGCACAGATGGGACCAAGATCTGATTACTGAGATGTCAGATATCTCATCCCAAGGAGCAGTTTAACAAAATGCGGTTGCTTTTCCCTCCAGTTGTCTCCAAATCAGCTGGAAAGACTTCTTTATAAACCCATCAGATATTAAACATCCACATAAATGCTGCCCTTTTAAAAGGGATACCCTAATTCTAATGGTATTGGTTACTGAAGACATTTCTGAGAGTTCTCTCTGGAACTGACTCCAAGACTCTATGCACCATTCACTGAATGATTACCAAGTGCCAAGCATCCTCCCATGCCAGGCACTGGGCTGTGACAATGATCAGAACATAAGTCCTTCCTTCAGGAACATGTTGTCTAATGGAGCAAACATAAGCAGGTATATTACAACTCAATAAATTTTAGAACAAAGTTATACACAAGTACTGTGGGGTCTAGAGAAAGAAGCCATCCACTCTTACTGGAGGGCCTGGGGAAGCCGGCTTTGTGGAGGGCATGACCTTGATGGATGCATGGCTGAAGGGTGGGGAAGACACTTGAGCAAACAGACAGCAGGTCTAATTCCTGGAATCATAAGAGGCTGTGGCATATTCAGAGTGCTGAGGAGGAGGCAAGACGGGATCAGACTGGGAACAACCTCCTTTGCCACACTAAGTGCACACTTACTCCTATGGGTAACTAAAAGGAAAATAATGGCAATTTTTCTTTCTGTAGGAAGATAACTCTGGTGTTTTGTGAAGTAGACAGTGGAGCAGAATTGGAGCTCATAAGAGCAGAATACGCTTTACTCAGCAACTACAGTATCTTAGACACTGACAGATCTTTAAAGACCAGATCTCTCCTGAAGAGCAGTCATAAGAAGCAACAGTGAACATTTATTGAGTTATTACTAGGGAACTGATACTATATAAAATACTATAGTATTTTGTCATTTATTTTTTTTGAAGATTTTATTTATTTGTTTATTTAGTTATTTATTTGAGAGAGAGAGCATGCACAAGAGAGAGCAAAAGCTGGGGAAGGGGCAAAGGGAGAGGAAGAAGCAGCTCCTGGCTGTGCTGGGAATCTGATGCAGGACTCAATCCCAGGACCCAGGGATCATGACCTAAGCCAAAGGCAGATGCTTAACCAACTAAACCACCCAGGCCCTCCAAAAGTGTCATTACCTTAGTCTTCAAAATAACCCCATGATAATCATTTCATGATACATGTAAGACCATCACGCTGTATGCCTTTAACTTATGCAGTTGATGTATGTCAATTATTTCTCAAAAAAACTAAGGGGAAGACATATTAAAAATCAATTTAATTTAAAATAAGCCCATGGGAATATAAAAAATAGTGAAAGGGAATAAAGGGGAAAGGATAAAAAATGAGTGGGAAATATCAGAAAGGGAGACAGAACATGAAAGACCCCTAACTGGGAAATGAACTAGGGGTGGCGGAAGGGGAGGTGGGTGGGGGGTGAGGGTGACTGGGTGATGGACACTGAGGGGGGCACTTGATGGGATGGATGAGCACTAGGTGTTATTCTATATGTTGGCAAATTGAACACCAATAAAAAAATAAATTTATATAAATAAATAAATAAATAAATAAATAAATAAATAAATAAATAATAAAATAAGCCCATGAGCTTGATATTATTGTGTCCATTTTCTAGACCAGAGGCCTAGAGAAGTTATGTAACCTGCCAAAGGTCATGCGGGTTGTAAGCAGTCAAGTCAGGATTCAAAACTAGAATTGCCAGGCTCCAAGACCAAGAACTGGGGCATTGTGGCAGTTGTTCAGCAAAGTGGGGGAGGTGGCCTCAGGGCCAGGTATTAAAGCCAGGAGACAACTCTGAAGGAGAAACACTAGGAGGTGAGTGATAAGGAACAGTCGGGAGTGTAGGCTGACTGCCAGCCTCTTGAGTTTGAGAGTCCAGTGGATTGTCTTTTATTGTTCTGAGAAACAGAGAAGGAAGCGCCCCAGGTTGGTGAGAAAAGACTAATAAACTATGTTTAGAACATGCTTGATAGGAGTTATCTACAGACTATCCAGATGAAAAAACGATCTTGAAAGTCAGCAAGGATGGTCACTGAAGCTGTGGGTGCTGGTATAACATCCAGGTAGGACACGGAGAGCAGCCCAATGGCAGGACATGGGAAACATGGAACCCAAGGAGAAACTAGCAGACACACAGCAGCAGAGAGGGAGGAGAGTGGCTGGTGGGATGCCTGGAAGTCAAGGAAAGAAGATGTGAAGGAGTGTCTGATTTCTCAAAAATTCTCTCTCTTCCTTCCCACTAATTCCCCACAACCTCCTCACCTCCGATCCAAGAAAGACAAGAGCAGGTCATCATGGTATCAAGGAAAGCCTCCACCTTTCTTCTCTCACACAGTTCTTTATCCCCTGACAAAGTGTCCAAAATGTCATGACAAGTTTGACTTCAGCCAGAGATAGGTAGAGCAGGGCTGTGCCTTTTCCAGTTATAGGACACTTAGGCCTCACTGGATTTAAAAAAAAAAAAAAAAGGAGGCACCAACCCCATCCAATTGAACTCTCCATTAGATTTTGGGAATCAAAGGGAGGCCTGGGTGGCTCAGGGCATGATCCCAGGGTCCCGGGATTGAGTCTCACATCGGGCTCCTACAGGGAGCCTGCTTCTTCCTCTGCCTGTGTCTCTACCTCTCTCTCTCTCTCTCTCTCTCTCTCTCTCTCTCATGAATGAATAAATAAATAAAATTTAAAAAAAAGATTTGGGGAACCAAAGCTTCAGTGGGTAATAAAGTACCTCTGCTTTGCTTTGCTTTGGATTCTGTATGTGGTACACACATGTATATAAATGTACATATATAATAGGTATATATTTTAGTATTCAACCAGCATCCAGTATTTCTCTGCAGTATTTATCATATTTATAACTAAAGAATTTTGTAATTAGTTATTTAGTGCCTATCTCTCCTGGATGGAAGCTCTATGATAGCAAAGACTAGGTTTGTCTTTCTATCCCCAGCACCTAATAAAGTACCTTAGTTATTTTAATACTTATTATTTGGTTGATTGAGTGGATGAATGAATGAACGTATGGATATGTGATCAATAGTGCTAAATGTCGTGGAAAGGTGAAGAGGAATGAAGACTGAAACTAGAACATGAATTTGACAGGTGGTCAGTAGGGACCTTGGGAGAGAGCTACCGTGGAGCGAAGGCGCTGGATGCCTGACTCTCCTTCCATAGGCTGGGAAGAGAAAGAGAGGCTTCAGAAGTCCCACTGTGGGCAGGAACTGATCCAGCAGACTCTGTTGGTTTCCAATTTTATATCCTTTTTCTCTATTTTTGGAAACAGTAAAAGATCATAGGGAATAAATTCAGGTGACCCAAGCAGATGGTCAAGCTCAACATCATTTCTAGTCAAAAATAGTATCTGATTTCAAAAGTTAAATGACTGATCTTCTACTAGGACCCACAAACTATTTCCAAAGCCCATTCCCAAACAGAGATTACAAAACAGACACATTCTGATAATGGCAGCATCAACTGAAATCAAAGTGACTACTTTGAATAAGTGCATGCTTAGCTATAAGAGTTCTGCTGTATTTCTTTTCCTTTCTTTTTTAAGTCTTTAGAGTCACATACAATAGGTAGAAGTAGCATGGCTTAGAGGAGTGCTTTCCTAAAATGCATTATCCACCTTAGGATGATTTTTTTATGGCACATGAATAAATGTATATATGTTGGATTGTATTGACTTTTGTGTATATTAGAAAAAATACACAATTCATCCAGCTCATAATATCACATACACTACGGAGTATCTTTGGTCAACGAATTTATATTGTAATTTAAAATTTAAAATTAAAAGGAACTTATTAAATAAATGTATTATTAATTTAATAACTTAACATTGCATTATTATTAAATACTTTTGTTATGGCAAACATTATCAGGGGAGTATACAAATAATTCAAGCTTGGGAAACACTGGTAGGAGAGAGATCGTGGGCTTTCTGGGCTTCCAGACCGAAGTTCAAATCCCATCCCTGCCATTTGCTAGTTACTGAAGGGCTCTGTGAAAGTTTGCCTAACTTCTATGAGTCTCAGGTTACTCATCTATGAAATGAAAAATAACAATACTCACTTCACAGGGTTTTTCAGAGGACAAAGGAAACCAAGCATTAAGACCCCCAGCAGAGCCCTAGGCATATAAGTCGGTACACAGTCCACGGTAGCTACAATGCTTGACAGTCCAAACATTATACACATATTCAAACAAATCCCAGCCATGTGGCTATTTATATAAATGTGTCCATTTATTCCAGCTGACCTTTGTTTCCCATCTGAATTGCATTATCACTGCAAGTGAAAGCTTACCAGGCTGAAAAGGAAGATGAACAACAAAACAGGAGGGCCAGAGGCTAACAGGAGGCCCAGAGGCATTTGGACTCATGGCCTGAGTCAGGGTAGGGAGCTCAGAATCGCTCCCAGCTGGTCAACAGTCTGTGTTTCAACAGAGATGTTACCCTTCTACGAGTGTGGCATGAGTGAGCATCAACCTTATAATTATTAACTCAGATTCTAAACATAAAAAGCCAAATGACCTGAGCAGAATGAAAGCCAGGGACAGTCTTATCAAGAATGAATCAGCCTCTTTGATCTTGAGGTAAACCAACCCACTAAACATCAAGCTTCCACCTGGGGTTTTTCCAGACACTAAAATGGTTGCCTAATTCTCAGCTGTCTGGAGGTTCCAGTCCAAACTGGCCTTAAAGGAAAAAAAAAAAAAAAAGGAGGGGGGCAGGGAGTCCCTCCACCTTGCCAGAGTTCACACTCCATTAAAAACATATACAGATCCATGCTGCTAATCCAAAGAAGCAGGGCCTCCAAAAATATTCTTAACGAAAAACAATCCAAGTAATATGAAGATAAATTATTCTACCCAATTTGGAACTAAACACTCAAGTATCAAAAGAGGGGTAAACAATGAAAACACAGAGCAGAGGTAGAAGGCATTCAGACGTTAGGCAGAAAAGCAGAAAATGGGAGGAAAATCCAGAAGTGGACATCAAAGAAGGTAAACACAAAATACCCAAAGGGAGGTGGTATAGGAGAGGTGTGCAGAAATGGGTGAAAAACAGGGAAAAGAAGGCAGAAGGGGGTTCAGCTGGGCAAGAGCCATGGTAATCAGCATCTCTCACTACATTTCCAGAAGCCTCTCCTACCTACCCACCCAGATCGTGTGCACTGCACGGTGAATTAATCAGCATGTAAATCACTCCCTTTATCTGCGGAAATTGAATTTAGCTGCCAATCTTGATTGAAGGCATAGAGGCCTCCTCCCAGAAAGATCACAGCTCTCAGGGAAAATGCCTTTTCTCTCCTTAAATCAAAGCTTGTATAAACCCAAGGAAACAGCTGCAGCTGGAACCACAGACTTTGTGAAAGGTGGCAGGCTGAGGACGGTAATTATAATTAGCAGTTACATAACATGTTTGTTCTTCAAAGTGCTCTACAAGCATCAGCTAATTAATAGCTTACTATGCCCCATGCAGATCCACTGGTTTTTCATGTAGTGGCTAATCCCTGTACCCCCACTGAACTCTGAATGGTGGAAGCAGAACAGCTTGAGCAATGAAGCAAATGGCTGAGGGTCCAGAAGCTCTGCCCAGCTCCCTTAACCAAGCGCCTCCCTGAGTATCTCAGGGCCAGGAACATTGCCCCAAATGTTTTATTCAGCATCGCATGAGACGGCTGCCTCACTTCCTCCAAACAGTTCTTAGAAGTGCCACTAGAGATACACTAATAGGGTGGAATGACCATCAGTCTGGTCCAACATGGCATTAGCTCTTCTCAATTTCCCTAATTAGACTGGGACTCTGGAGCCCTTGGTGGTAGTTACAGGTCTGCCCTTGTTTCTCTGTGCGAGTAGGGTTAAGTCGACGAGACCTCTCTACGAACAAGCTGGACTAGATCTCTGGGTTCTCACCCACGTCTACCCTACATTTGCAGTCTCTAGCCTACATCCTCTTCCATTCGTAGTAGAGATGAGCGAATGTGGGAACTGCATGGCACAGATGGTTCTAGCAGCAGAGCTGAATTCTTCATCTATTCCAGGGATGCTTTATCCAAGAATTTCGGAAGTCCGTAGATGTCCTGAGTTTGTAAGATATTATATGTATATGTGTATGTAGGTTTCTTTGGAGAAAAGCCCGTTTACCCTGTTGCCCCATAAATTCCAGGAAGGTAGTGTCTAGCAAAGTACCTCTATACATAGTGTAAGCTAAATAGGTATCTATTAAGTCAATTTGATAGATTTCACCAAATTCCTAGCCCCAAAATGGTTACGAACCACTGCTCTCTGGACAAATAATCACCAGCAGTCCTCATGTTTTGCTTGCTCTGGCTAGACTTTCCTATGGAAAACTTTGACCAGTAACACCCAAAACATGCTTACCACAATTCTGCCTCAGATCAAATCAGAGACCCAGACCAAAGATACGTTGAGATTTCCCTCTTTAGAGATCTGTCATTAGAGCCAAGCAAGTCAACATCTAGAATTCAACACATTCTACACTAGGAGACAACTGCCTATCACACCTTCTGCCCAACCATCATAAACAGAGTCACTGCCTTCTCCCACCTTGTTACTTGGAGGCAGTGGTGTGAAATAAAACAGGTAGAAATGCATACTTGTGAGTCATGAGAAGACCTTCTTCAAGATAGGCCAATAATTTCAGTAAAAGACCTAACGTGTACGTAGGCTTTAACTTTTTCAAAATGTTCTCCACAGATGATCTCATTTGATTTTCTCTCAATAACTCTTTGAAATAAGAAAAGCAGCTTTTATTTTCCCCCTTTTATAAATGAAGAAACTGAGCAGACTTTATTTTCCCCCTTTTATAAATGAAGAAACTAAGCAAATAACGCCTTACCCGGTGACACACCACTCATATAATGACACTGCTAGAATTTGAACGGATGTCTCCAAACCCCTTTCACCAGTAATTCCATTATGGGGTATATACCCAAAAGAATTGAAAGCAGGCTCTCAAAGAGATTATTTGTATGCCCATGCTCACAGCAGCACTATTCACAATCACCAAAAGGCGGATGCAGCACAAGTGCCCACCAGTGGATGAATGGGTCAACAAAATGTGGTAAATACATATAATGCAATATTATTCAGTGTTTAAAAAGAAGGAAATCCCATCATCTGCAACAACATGGATGAGCCTGCAGAACATGATGCTAAGTGAAGTAAGCCATTCACAGAAGGACAAAAACTACATAATTCTGTTTATAGGAGGTATCTAAATTAGTCAAATCCACAGAAACAGAAAGTAGAATGGTGGTGCTGCCGGGAGGAGGAAATGGGGAGGTAACGTTTAATGAGTGCACAGTTTCAGTTTTGCAATATGACAAGGGTCTGGAGATTGGTTGCACAATAATGTGAGTATACTTAAAAATGGTTAAGGTGGTAAATTTTGTTGTGTGTATTTAACACAACATAAAAAATATTAATTAAAAATTTTTAAATAAAAATAAACACTAAAACCTCTTTATCCATTACACCACCTTTTCTCTGAAAAGCTGCCAACGTGTGCTAAGTTAGGACTTTTGAGTATGCCAACGCCCCTAAGAAAATGGTTCATGGAGAAAAATTTCTCAGCCAGCCAAGTAGAGGAGATAGAAATCACTGTGATTTCAGGTGAGTTGCAAAGATATATGCGTGAAATTTTCTGTGCACTTTATTTTCCCAATCCATCCTCAAAATCTTCAGGATTTAGCTGGCAAATCTCAAGCCAGGTGCCCAGTCAGGTAAATGGCACAGCCAGGCAGAGTACACAGAGGGAGCAACCAGGCAGCTGGAGGTCCCACTACTCCTGCTGGGTGTCACTTCCAGGAAACAAAAGCCCCACCAAATGGAGTCCATACCTGTGCATGTCAAAGTACTTTCTCTCCAAGTGCCTTTCTCTGTGCAAACAGAAGTGATCTTTCCTCCCAGGCTCTCAAAACCCTCTTGACAGACATAGTGAGCCACACTGCCCAGGCTGGAGCTGTGATTCCCCACCAGGACCGCATGCTGCACTTCCGGAGGATGGCCACAGTTGATTTCTGCAATGGGAAGTAGCACAGCACTAGTTATGACCCCCCCATTTCTTTCCTTATAATTCATATTATAGAAATAAACACTTAGTAATGATAGAGTCCAGTCATAAGAGAAAACATGAACCCCATAAAAAATCCAGTTGCAGATATAGAAGACTGCTCAGAAGTAAAGAGATATGCCTGACGTCAATGAAATTTACAAACACGCACACATAGAAAATATTCTAATTATAAGATTATTTACATTATGAAGAATTCCTTGGTCAATGAAATAATCCATCCCAGGGTTCTTTTAAATATTAAGATTTTCAGGTACCTTTTACTATGTATCATGAGATCACAAACTCCTAAAGTAGATGATAAGGCAATTGTAGTTTTGTTGCCAACTGATTATTAAATGAAATTATATACAAAATCTTTGAACTTTTTAAGGCAAATTAATAGGGAAAGTACATACAGTCTAAACATTCACTTTATGTTTCTATAAAAGAAAATAATCAACTGCATAGAGGAAGACAAGCCTAGAATTACAAAATTGACATGAAATTTCTTCTCTGCAACTCTGACAACTAGAACACACTAGAATACTTACAGAAACTATCTGAAGGAACTGAAGTATGATGCTACTATTTTAGACTTAGCCAAATTCTATTTCACGTAAGACTAAAAGTCTTTTTCAGATATTTTACAATTTTTAAAAATCCGTATGTGTATTGTTTCTGGAAAAAAAAAAACTCCTGCCTAACAACAACAATAAATGAACCAGAATAAATATCCTAAGAAAAGTGGAGGACAGGTTTTAGAAGAAACACTAGCAAAGCAATGAAATCAGCATGATGTGCAGATAAGATACATCTAGTAGTAAAGGATCCTACAACGAAAAGTTGAACAATGTAAAAAAAAATCAATAATTTGAAAATAAAATTCTAAATTATTTCAAAAACTCTGAGCAATGAGGGAAAGAAATAAAGGGAAGAAACAGACATGCTAATTCCTCCTACAGTAGTGAGAAGTTCATAGACACAATTTTATTCAAGAAAGCATAATAATTCTAAAATAAGGAGGCCATAATCATTCCAAATGTAGCCAAGAGTCCCAGTTAGACCCAAATGCAGAGAAAAATATATATAACATTTGATATTCATTCTGATTTTTAGTTTTCTCCCAAGTCTGCAGAAAGGCAAGAAAATTAGGCACTTTTGACATGTAGGCTTTTAAAATGTAAGTGCGAGGTGCCCAGGTGGTACAGTGGGTTAAGTGTTTGACTCTTGGTTTCAGCTCAGGCTTATCTTAGGGTCGTGAGAGGAATTCTTCATAATGTAAATAATCTTATAATTGGAATATTTTCTAGCTCTGGGCTTAGCAAGGAGTCTGCTTGAGATTCTCTTTCCCTCCCCTTCTGCCCCTCCTGCTCATGCTCACTCACACTCTTTCTCTTTTCCCTCCCTTTCAAGTAAATAACTATTTTTTAAAAAAATAAAATATAAGTGCATTTATTGAGATAAAGAATTCAAGATAGAGAAAATGGTATCATTTTCCCAAATCCCCATCAACCACTCTTGGCCTTAGAAAAAGGTAGCTTCTCTTAAATGAGTTACCAGTACAGAACTGGTGGGTTTAATGGAACTGCACATGCCTCCATCCCAGTGTGAATGCCTGGTCTGTTGAAGAACCCAGAGTTCTTTCCCTGAGGGAGGCCTCCCAGAGCAGACTTTCATCTGTTGTCATTAACACTCTCATGAGAACATCAATACAACAGCTCAACCCACCTGACCAGTCATTCGCCTCCGAGATTTTAAAAGAAGAGTGAGTCTCTCATCAGTGCAGACTGACATCATGAGCAGTTACGGGACCAGATCCAGGTGCTCATTTCATAAATCCTCCAACCCTGCCCACCTTGCAAGTCCCATATTGCTCACAGGGATTTGTTTTCTTTTCATACACATTTACTAGGGACCAGGCTTCTTGGCCCTCATTATGTTTTTCCCAGCATCAAACCTTTAGACATATCAACCGTCCCAAAACACTGCAAGACATGAGTATATTTATGTGTACATAAGCAACCAACCGAACAGGTGGTTAATGTTTCATAAGGCTGCCCAGTCATTGTTGACATCTAAAATATCTTCTAGTTAAAGCCAGGGTTCAGTTATAGCAGGAAATAGAGGGAACAGCAGTGAAGAGATTGAGGGTATAGGTTTATGTAGGTTTATGGACCTTGAAACTAGAATTCTAAATAATATATTGGAGAGGTTTGGGAATCCAGTGATAGGTAATCAGATTAAGGGAGAAGCAGAGATTCTAAAGGTATAAGAGTACAGAAGATATCTAAATTGGCTTCCATCCTTGGACGTGACCAAGAATAATGGAAGGCACATAAAAATACAAGATTTTTAAAAATTAATTACCACAAATATTAATTTGGGAGTTGATGAGAGAGCAGTAGCTTGGTCCCTAGGGACTAAGGTTCAGCAACTCAAGGCGATGCCCAGTGGCAGGCAACCAGGACTCTCTGAGATCCCATGCTATAGCTATTCAAGTTGGATAGTCTCTTGCAGAGAGATATTTAGAGAAGATTCTAGCATGGCTTGGATTAAACACATGGTTCTAAACAGCCGCTGTACATCTGAATTGCCTAGGGACCTTTGGAAAAACACCCATGCTGGTGGCTCACAGCCTCTCCCCTTACCCAGAGATAATTCTTCTGAATCAGTGGCACTGAGTTGGGTTCTTGGCATCCACATTTCTACAAGGTTCCAAGTTTGATTTTTATGCACACGCTCAACTCAGAACCTAAATTAAATACTAATATGAATAGCTACCATTTATCATCACATGCTTGAGGGCTTAATGTCTTTCTATGAATATATTATGTCTCCCCAAATATATGGCCAGTTTGTAAAGGACAGAATCTTTATTTAATCATCTCTTGTACCCTCCCATGCCTGCTTAAATAGTATGTATTGCATAGTAAATACTCAATAAATAACTGTTCATTGATAGCTTGCTACTGCTTTATCATTGTTCAAGATGCAGTAAATGTTACTTTGAAATGAATAACAGCCCCTGAGGAAGGAAAAAGTCATCAGTAAATTGTAAGTACAAATAACAAGTATACATTACCTTTATATTTGTAACCCAACATCGGTAACACACACCTACCAAACGCCAAGTAAATGAAAGCAGAGTAATAGACTCACAAAAAACTAATCTCAGTTTTCTACCAGGGAATCCTGGGAATGTTGTTCAGACTTCAATCATTTTAATCATAATAGCATTCATCAAAATTCTACTAAACATAAGCCTATTAGATATATATTATCTTATTTATTCCTCACAAAAAACCTTGCAAGGTAGATGGTTTTTTTCTCATGTCGTTTATAGATATGAATATGGAGCTTAAGAGCCCCTAAGAGCTCCTAAGGGCTTAAGTCTCATTCAAAAGTCACACCACTAGTGAAAGATAGAGCTAGTATTCAAACTGTGGGATGTATGGCCCCAAAGTCCAGGTCCATTAAATCTGAGGAGCCTCACAATAAAGGGGTCCAGTGTAGACCCTGATTAGGACTGAGCTTAGAAGTTAGCTCAGGAGAAAAATTTGCATGAAGGAGCATTCAAATCAGTATGGAATGGTTCTATAACAACTTCCTCTGCCAAATCTTGTTTCCAACAGCTTTCCCAGAGCAAGACAGCTGCTGGAAATAGACTTACCCCTACATCTGTGAGATACCCTAAAGCTGCCTTAGTACTGTTGTTTAACCCCATAACACAGGGGACAGACCCAGGCCTGGGTCTGTCCTGGCACATGGCCATGTCACAGATATTCCCATCATGCTTAAGAGAGATCGCAGCCACTGCCACTTCTACTCAGACCAAATGGTACCCAAGAAAGCAGGCGACTACTCTTAAGAAATACTTCAAAACCAATCAACAGAGGCTGCAATAGGTGGTAATAAAAATATGGTTCTACACAAAATGCCCAAAGTTCTCAATATCACAAGGAAATAGTCCATTTAAAAACAGTTTCTATTCAAAGGAAAGGGAAAAATAAGGAGCACAAATCTGCATTAGATATGCATTAGGGGTGTTCATTTAAGCACACATTTCTCTAGCTAATTATATTATGAGGGAACAACATTTGGATATGTATCAGCAATACAGTCAACTAATTATGAACATGGCTGGAAATTTTTTTTAAGATTTATTTATTTATTTGACAGGAAGAGAGAGAGAGAGAGAGAGAGAGCACACAAGTTGGGGGAGGGGAAGATGGAGAGAATCCCCAGGCGGACTCCCTGATGAGCACAGAGCCCCATGGAGGGCTTGATCTCAGGACCCTGGGAACATGACCTGAGCTGAAACTGAGAGTCAGACACTTAACCGACTAAGCTACCCAGGTGCCCCCATGGCTGGGAATTTGTCTTTACTATCCTATTATCTGTGATTTTATTCAAATAATCAGCTTCAAAACAAGTCTCCTTAGGGGAGGGGGGATGTGCTGTGCCAGTTTCAAGGACCACATTCAGACTATAACTCTATTTCATATCTTGAAGGTAAAAATGTTTATCCACACTACTAGCTTTAATATTCTACCCAAGAAAATATTCCAGAAGGAAATCTATTTGATGAAAGGTATTGGCAATTTGTGGCATCTGGCTGTGTCGCCAATGTCATCCTCATTGGCTGCTTCTCATTATAAACATCAGCACGATAATGTGATTGATTTCAGAAATAACAGAATAATATAAGCTCCATCTAAAACTGTTTTAGAGACCAATAAATACCAAGCTGAGAAAGAAAAAAACAGACCAATAGTGTCCATAAATTGAGGCAGATGTTTTGCCAACTGCCAGGAGAATGAATGATAGACCTATTCCACATGCTGATATTGACTCAAAAAAAAGTCTTCCCAGAGAAATAAACTACTAGCCGGGGAGCTTTGGCAGAGGAGCAGAAACAAGTATGAAAACTAAAGAAAATCATATTAAAATCAGCTTTCATTTACA